GTCTGCAGAACCACAGAGGTTAGGTATATGGTAAGGGACTAGGGGGAAACAGACAAATCCCCCTAGGAAAAGAAAATAGAATAGATGGTTATGGATGGATGAGGGAAGGGGCTGGAACAGAAAGATAAAGTGGAGAGGAGAGAGAAGACGGGGACAAGAGAGGGAATATGGCAAGAGATGGATAAAATTAAGGGTCATTTCACAGGTAGTATGGTAACCTAATATAGTAGAAACTTCTAATATATATGAAGATGATAAATGAAATCACCAAATAATAGAAACATAGAAAAGTTGAATTTGTACCTGTAAAGAGCCTTCACCCCTATGTGTTACCATCTTTGGCACAGGAAGGTAGTCCGCATTTTGGTAAAAGGAGAAAACTAAACACCAACTGAATTACAAAGCCTTTGATCTGCAATGGTGACCTGCCTGCACAATAGTCTAGTGCAATGATGGCATAAAGCTTATGGAAGTAACAAAACAATACCTGATTTGACTTAAGGTCCAATGCACAAGTGTTGACAGAGGTTTCTGTCCCATCCTGCAGCCATTTAGTCCCAAAGAAACACACAGAGGCTTACATTAATTATAAACTAGTTGGCCTATTATCTCAGGCTTCTTATTAACTCTTATATCCACATTAACTCATAATTCTTGTCTGTGTTAGCCACGTGTCTTGGTACCCTTTATCAGTTAGGCATTCTCATATTGCTTCCTGTGTCTGGGTGACAACTGCAGACTGAGCCTTTCCTCTTCCCAGAATTCTCTTATTCTTGTCACCCCGTGCCTATTATTCTTGAATACTTCCTGGCTGGCCAATCAGCATTTTATTAAACCAATACAAGTGACAAATATTTATAGGGTACAAGAACATTGTTCTTTGGGGGCTTGCCAACAAGCTCCCAAGTAAATATACCTGGAGTCTTTGTCTTATTCTTACTCGTGAATGCCCAGTTTTAGCTTGGCTTGTGTGTCCCACAGCATACAAGATGGAATCCATTCCTAACTCGGCTTAGGTTACCAAGAACCTGAGACTAGACAGCCCAGTAACCTAGGATAAAACATATACTACTGTGCTCCTGAAATAATGTAATATTAAAATGACTCCTAATGACATTATGCTGTACTCATAAGTCAGCGCCTTGTTTAGCCATCATCAGAGAAGTTTTCTCCTGCAGCAGATGGATACATAAACAGAGATCCAGAAAATATGCAGAGGTTGAGAGATTTGAAATACTCAGCTCTAAAAAGGAACAGGGAAAAAAAAGATTAAGGAGTGAGAAAAGAAGGAGCCAGCTACCTAGCCACACAGCAAGACATGAAATAAGAAGAAAAGATATTAAGAAACAGTGAAAGGTAAAAGCCCAGAAGCAAAATGTAAATGGAATAACTTAAGTAAAGCTTGGGTACAAACAAGCCAACCTAAAGCTGGACATTCATGAGTAAGAATAAGATTCCATATGTATTTACTTGGGATCTTAGTGGTAGGCCTCCAAAGAACAAAGAGTCATAGAGTTTTTAAAAAAAGGAATATCTCCATTAACTCCCCCACTCCTTCTGGTCTCTGTGTTTATATCTGATATATTACATGAAAAAAATATTTTCAATAAAAGGAGAAAGAAAGAAGAAAAACAAAGCATGGTGGTACATTCATATAATTCTGGGCAGGGGGAGAATAAAAGGAGTTACACAGTCTTGAGGTCAATCTGGGCAACTTAGGACAGACAGTTATGTAACAAGACCTTGTATCCAAAACACAAATCGGAAAGAAAGAGAGAGAGAGAGAGAGAGAGAGAGAGAGAGAGAGAGAGAGAGAGAGAG